GTTTCAAGAATTTATTTACGAAGATTGGAAAAATCCATTAACATTACATGTTTATTAATCAACAAGGCTATACTCAATACTGAAACTGAGTTAACCATTAAGACAAAAGACATTAACGAATGTAAGAATCGAATTTTCTTTGTTCCCACATTATCTCTTATGATTAACAATTCGGATAAAAGACCGTATACAATATTTATTTAAGTACTTATTCGAAAAATATATTACTAAAGCAAATTACATTAATACGCATAAAAACTTTTTCTTTGTTTCTTGCCTATTATTATGTCGACTATTTGGATAATAGCCGTATAAATGTAAGGATTTTCAGGTGCATTCATCCGAAATATGTTACTAATATAAATTGTATTAACACGCTAATAAAAATATTTATAATTAGTAACGCGTTTTCATCCAATCGGATGTAATTTTATAACATGTCACGTGCCTGCACTAGACATGTTGCATATAACGTAGTCCTTCCTATGCTCCTAAAGTTATTGCTATAGTATACAATAATAAACTGTTTGATTAAAGAATCTTTTAAAGTATTGCATAAAAATTTTATACCAAGAACTTTCTAATGCTTAATATTAAAGACTTATAAATCAATATTTCAAGAACTTTTATGTATATGTTTTATGCAATATCCGGGTACCTTTCGTTCGGGCAAAGATTTATTTGATGCTAGCTTACTTAGAACCAATGAATTTAGTAAAGCATTTAATCTTTTCATGGGCTTGTTAAAAGAATTGGTTGTAAATGCTAAACCAACTGCCACTCATTTTTTTATAAAAAAATTGGCAGATATGAAAAAAATAAAAAGAGTATATACACAAAATATAGATAATCTCAAAAAATTAGTAGGATTACATGTGAATTGGCAATTTGAAAGAGTTAAAAATTATCAAGCTCAAACAGTTTAATTATATGGAACCTTGGCAAATTTACGATGTAACGTTTGCACACATATTTATCCTTTTACAAAGCAATTTTGTGATATTTTCAAGCAAGGTAGAGCACCAAATTGCCCCAAATGTGAAGAGAAAGGTAAATACATAAAATACCGTATATTATCGAATAAAAGTAACAAAAATAACTCTTTTCTAACCAAGTAAATAAATCATAATCACTGTACATTTTGCTCCAAAGTTGGTTGTTGCTATTATTTCTACTCGGTAACATATGGTAGTTTGTTTTCTTTTATCAATTGTTGTTTAAGTAGTTAGTGATTAATTATTCACATTTCAATAAATAGAAAATGCCCGGATCAAACAAGGAAGGCATCCTCATACTATTGGACATCTAAAACCGACAGTAATCCTTTACAATGATCCACATCCTAAAGGATTGGAAATTAGTAAAATAGCGAAACACGATAAGAAAAAGGCTGATTGTTTGATAATAATGGGAACTTCCTTAAGAATTCCTGGTGTTAAAGAACTTATAAAAAGACTTTGCTGAAGCGGTTCATGGTCGTAAAGGTTATGTGGTATTGGTGAATGCTGCAGATGTAGTTACTAAAGGGTGGAATGGGTTTATTAACTATCAAATAGAAGGTACCTGTGATGAGTGGGTTAAACTTGTTGACATAGAATTATCAGAAATCGAAAAAATAACATTATCAAAAAATAAATTAAAAAATAAAAGTAAGTTGGACGATGCAAGTGACAAAAAACAAGTAGAAAAAAAAAGAAAAAACAGAGTGAA